CATTAATGTACTACATTAAATAAGATCTATTACGTATTAAGTTACTGTAGTTTTTAATGATTATTTTTAAAAAATGTTAAAAACAAACCAGTTTTTAATTCCTACTTAAATAATCAAAGATAAACAAACATCTAAAATCGCTCCTGTTTTAAAGCAAACTACACATACACTAATATCTCACTCACATTAGAAATTTAACTTTAGTAAATTTACAGGCCTCCATCTATGTCTTTTTTCTCTCCCCCCCCCCCCTCTCTCTCTCTCTCTCTCTCTAGATATATAATATTGCCTATATATACGTATTTATAAATAATTATTTTCAGAAACACACATTCTTTAAACATTGTAAATTATAGAACAGATCTTGGTGGTGCAAATACAAAATTAAATTGAATATTCTCTTCGGAAGAACGGAGAGAGCTTCGATCCTGATTTTGGTATTCTAAAAAGTCATAAGTTCTCTGTTTTAAGATGTAGGCCTATGTCTCTGATGGCTTCGTCTGTTTCTTGAATACCTTCACTGTACAATCCTGGTAAACCAACATTCATCATTGCGTTATCCGAGTCGTGAATGTCGACATCCATTACTTGATCGTCGAACTCTTGGTCAACAATTATTCTTATAATAATGTTCATGACTGGGTGATCCATATTTCGGAAAAAAAATATCTCATGAACGCACATGTATTATTTGTACAAATATTGTTGTTCGCTGACAGCATACAACTCATTGTAAAGAAAAAAACATCCGCGAAAAAAAAATAACACGTTTCAGTTTTAAGGTACAGAATGCAATATTATTGTCTTTTAAATTACATTTTATAAAACCATTCTTTTAATTTGTAAATATTTAAATTATTACGATTCTTTTTTTATATTATATTAAAAAATAACTGTAAAAATGACTGCTAGTAATTCATACGCCAATGACACCGCCAAAACCGGAAGAGTCGGACGGAAACAATAACAAATAATAACGGAAACTAACGGAGGAGATTCAATCATTGCGGAAAGCTGACGTCACTGAAGAAGAAACGAATCCCATAGATCAGGAAGACATATAAATACAGATAGAAGTGTATCGATATTGAATAATACAGCTCGATTTAAAATGCTTAGAGATGTCTGCAAAATACAGTTTGGACACCAAAGAAAAGAAAGAGTTTTGATGGTTGGATAACCAAAAAACACAACAAAAAAACCTATCAACAATAGACCAAAGCGACACATGAGGTGAAGACGATTTTTTTTCACTCCTAGCTATTTAGAGGCGAAGCTAGGGGAGGGTGGATGGGGCGGCAGACCACCAGAAAGGGGTGCATAATAATTAAAAGCTCTCCCTGAGCTACATCCCTGTATTATAGACAGTCGCAGTTAAGAATAAAAACTGTTCCTTTGCTTTACGGACTTATTTAATCTTTTCAATTTACATCAATTGTGACATCTAAATACAAATTGTCAAGGGACAGTGCCTGGTAAAAAACGTTCACAAACTTTCCAAAATGGAATGGGGCGCTTTTTTGACACTGTGTAAAAATGATTTGTAAGTGGGGTGGGGGGGGGGGGGGAGCGCAAAATTGAATGTTCCGTCAAGGTGCCGGAATGGATCGAAACGCCTCTGAGGCTATAGTCACATAATGTAGCAAAAGTCGACCCCTACTTCTTGTTATCATCACAGCTTATACCCCTCCAACTCCTATCCCCCAAAACTGCATGTTTCAAAACAGTCAATATCTTTCTACAAAATATTCGGGCTGTTCTTGATAAAGTAAACTAAATTTATTAATTTTTTTATTACACTTTGTAAAAAAATATGTATTAAACATACGAAATGACGAAAATGCGGTTAAAATTTACGTTTAAAAATCACCAATTCTCCCCTTTATCACAAAAGTCCAACCGCTATCAACGGACAGCCCTTTGCCCCTAATTTCAATTATTATATAATTAGGTAAAAAAGCAACTGTTGACAAAGGACATACAGGTATAGCATTTTCACAATATTTACTTAGATTGCCAGACAGTATTATGGATGATTACTTATCTTAATAAAAACAAAGTTTCTTGAAAATCGTTCCTCTAAAAGAGTTAGAAATCTGTACATGAGTGTAATACTGAAATAAAATATAAAACCCATCTTACCTGGTTAAACGTTATCCGCTGGATTCAGTTGACTACGTGTATGGTTTCGTTGGCGAGAAAACAAACTATTGATAAAATAATCACTCGTCACGCTGCATTCGTTGCAAAGTTTGTCGATAGAATGACGCAGTTAAGAAAAAATCAAAGGCGCACACTGAACATAACGCATTTCATTGATCGTGTGACATTTTAAGTATAAGAACACATAGAGTTTATAAGCGCTGCAGCATAATTAATATTGTATTGGACGTGTCAGTCAATCAGCAGCTAGCACTAACATCTGGGTTTTTGCGTTCTTCAAAGATTTTAGGTCATAAACACATTGTAGCATACATTTCCTTTCAATACTCGTAATTGTCACCCTAATTTCAAGTTAGAATAACTTGTTTAAAAAAAATTAGGCATATATCTTTCCTGATTGGACAAAATCTGCATAAATATGCATTAAAAAGACAGTATTTCTCTTTTTTTGTCCTCGTTTTTCTGTTTCCAATGTTTCAACTGAATGTGCTATCTAATTGTATATATTTAACTAGTGCGTCATTATCCAGTATTAAAATCGCGTATATAGGTAGTGGTGATTTACGACCGTGCACTATCAAACACAGAGGTGTAGCGACCCTTCCCGGCGGCCGGGAACAAACTTTTCGATTTGCACCCCCCCCCTCGAGATTTCCATTTGCACCCCCCCCCCTGAAACTTTCGATTTGCACCCCCCTCAACCTTTCAATTTATTTTTCCAACCCATTTAGGCGCCCCCTAAGGTCGGCGCCTGGGGATACATGTGTCCCCGCCGCCCCCCCCCCCTCGCTACGCTACTGATCAAACACATCTCATAATTAAAGTTTCCAGAACGTCATTTTTTTGCTGTATGTGTCTACTTTTGAAAAAAAAACAGTATCAGAGAATTTGAAACAAATATATATGCTTGTGCATCTTTACAAAAAAAATTGCCCTAAAAGAGAAGTATCGACCTGCTTCTACTCTCGTTAATGTACTTTTTCACCTTTGAATTGATCAACATCTATCCACCAGAGGACATATTGGGACCAGCTTGACAACTTTAACGTAGAGACAGCCAAATACTTCTACCCTGAAGCCAACAAAAGTTACATTACGCTTCTAAAGGTTAAACTAAGTGAGTTAACTACAAGAATCAAATTTGTAAGTTCGCCCTATTTGAATAAGACGCTGGTAATAGTTTGACAATGCTATCCCCTCAGGACAAAGATTCAACAAACAACGCTAAATAAAAAGTCGGATTTCTTTTTGGCGCAGCGAATCAATATTTGTTCAGTCAAGCAACGCGTGACTGATTGAGTAGTTATTTTTAGAAATGGATATAGATTTTTATGTGTGGCGGTATCTTAAAGATTATTGGACACACTCCTAGCACACTACCGTTTAACACGGGTCGCTTATTCTACAAATATCTCCCAGTATCTGCCAGTAATGCAATACTTTTATTTAACACTAGACACCACTTTTAAAATATTTACATATAAATACACATACGCATACACGTAGGGCCTACATAAATACACGTTTATTAAACGTAAATAGGTATCTGTACAATTAATTGCATATATATATATATATATATATATATATATATATATATATATATATATATATATATATATATATATATATATTTATATATACACTTTTTTATTAAAGGGACATAAAGCGAAAATATATATATATATATATACATCACTTTTAACTTCTTAGTGATTTCCCTCCACTCATAGATTAAAATTAAAATAGTTAGAAATTTTTAATTGAATCAGATAGATATATTACAATGTGGAAAGATCCCCTCCCCCAACCTCTCGCTATCATGGCTGCCTATCTTGTTCATCACCCTCCTGTTTCTTTACCCCTGGCACATTCCATAAGTCAGACGGGTAAATGGGAACCGATTTGTTGACAAGACGGTCAAATTTATTCATAAGTTAAACTCTGCCTGAATACATAACACGAACCCTCTAAAAACCAGCTTAACGTTTAGGATGTAAAAGTTTCCATCTCATTTACTAAAATCCACTACTTCACACATTTAGGACACATGTGGGTGGATTTGTGGGTGGATCATCGTCTGCTTCCCCCCCCCCCCCCCCGTTCTTGTTGATCACACTTCCCAGATATGTGAATGTGCTTGTTTCCCGTAAATCTTCTCCATTTAGCTGTATGGGCAGGTCCTGGCTGTTATTGATTTTGATGACCTCTGTTTTATTTTTATTGATTTTTAGTCCAACTTTGGAGGCTTCTTCAGATAGCCGACTTAGTTTGGCTTGCGTATGTTGATGCTTGTGAGATAGTAGGCAGATGTCATCGGCAAAATCAAGATCTTCCAGCCTTTTGGTGAAACTCCACTGGATTCCTGTGTCGTTTCTTGTGGTTTTCAGCATGATCCGGTCGATTACCATCAAGAATATCATTGGCGATAGCATACATCCCTGTCTTACTCCCGTCGTCACCTTGAATGGTTTTGTTAGTTTTCCCCTGTGTATCACCTGACTGGTGGAGTCTGCATATAGTTTCTGTGTGATAGATATACATTTTTTGGGTATTCCATAGTGGCTCATTAACTTCCAGATAACATCTCTATTCACACTGTCAAACGTCTTTTCGAAGTCGACAAAAGTCATGTATAAGGGGGATTGCCACTCAAGGGACTGTTCAATAATGATGCGCAGCGTGGCATTGTGGTCAGTACATGACCCGTCTTGGCGAAAACCAGCTTGTTCTTGCGTCAGCTTTTTATCCAAAGCATCTTTAAGTCTCTCTAGGATGATTCTTGTCAGCACCTTATTTGGGACTGAAAGAAGCATTATCCCTCTCCAGTTGTTGAATTATGTCAGGTCTCCCTTCTTTGGCAGTTTTATCAGGTATCCCAGCTTCCAGTCAGATGGGATTATATCTTCTTCCCAAATCTGCTTAAGTAGAGGATGTAGTATGTCTGCTGATATGGCTGGGTCTGCCTTGAGTGCCTCTGGTGGGATGCCGTCCGGGCCAGCTGCTTTGCCATTTTTCATGTTCTTTATTGCTCTTATTGTTTCTAACTTTGTGGGTGGATCTGTACACACATTTAGTAGGTGGTTTGAAGGTGGGATATCAGGGATGTTTGATGAGAGAGGATGGTTTAAAATCTCATCAAAGTGCTGTACCCATCTGTCTCTCTGTTCTGTGTCAATTGTTAAGATATTTCCTACTTTATCCTTTACTGGTTTGTTGGGATTAATATTTTTGCCTGATAGGGTCCTAGTTACTTCATAGAGCCTCTTCATTTTTCCTTGTCGTGCCGCAGTTTCTGCCTCCGCTATCATCTCTTGTATGAACTGTCTTTTGTCTTCTTTTGCACTTTTCCTGACCATGCGATTTACTTGACAATAATGTGTTCTGAGGTTTATTTTCTCTTTTTCATCCTTACATTTGTTCATCTTTTGTTTTATCTCTTTTCTATCTTCAATTTTGGCCCATGTCTCTGCTGTGATCCATTCTTTTTGTTCATTTTTTCTTTTTCCCAACATGTCAGTGCCACTTGACTTCCATAGTTCCTGTTTTCCTAGCCATTTTTGCTCTATTGTTTCTTCTGCCAGGCTGGAGAGTGCTTCATACCTATTTTTTTTACTGCGCAGTTAAAGTCTTGCTTTATTTTTGGACGTCTAAGATATGTTGTATTGAATTTAAAGTGCGGTTTATCAGCTTGATCCCTGTAGGATTTTAGTTTTGATTTTAGTGCTGCAACCACGAGTTGGTGGTCTGAGGCTGCATCTGCACCTCGCTTCGACCTAACATCCATTAAACTTCTTCTCCACTTTCTGGAAATTGTGATGTGATCATTTTGGTTCTTTGTTTTACCATCGGGTAACGTACAAGTGGTCTTATGTATATCTTTATGAGAGAAAATTGTCCCCCTATAATTAGATCGTTAAATGCGCTGACATCAGCAAAGAGTTCCCCGTTTTCATTTATTATGCCTATTCCATTGTTCCCCATTGTGAGCTTACGATCTTTATTTCTGTTCCAACTTTGGTATTCATGTCTCACATCACTATCTTTATATTTCTTTTTGGTGATTTGTCAATTTGAGCTTGCAGGGCGCTGTAAAAGTTCTCTTTCTCTTCATCTGTTGCAGCATTTGTGGGTGCATAGCACTGAATTAAAGTTGTTTTCCTTCCCTTGGCATTAAAACGAGCTGCTATGAGTCGTGGCGAGACTGGTTCAAATGCAATCAAAGCATTTGTTGCTTCTGGAGACATCATTATGGCTACATCTTGTGTGTGTTGATGATCTTCGTCCTCGTGGCCTGAGTAGATGGCAGTCTCTCCCTAGACCAACCTAGTTTGGCCACTGCTATTCCATCGTGTCTCAATTAATCCTAGGACTTTTAATTTATACCTCCAAATTTCTTTGGGGACCTGAGCTGATCTGCTGCTTTCATATAGGGTTCTGATGTTCCAGGTCCCTAATCTGGTTTTAGTCTTGGGCGTTAGGAGATTTGTCAGCAAACTAGCTTCCGTTAGGCTTTCACTAGTAGGCATCATGGGCTCTTCTAGAGAGGAACCTCCTCGACCAAGTTGGTGTTAGATTTGTGTACTTGCAGTTTCTGTAGCGGTATTTTTTTTTATGAGATAAGGTTGCTAGCCTTATGTTTCAACCCCCAACCTGGAGGACCAGGGAGTTAGCTTTGGTCTGATCCCTACCCGCGCAGATCTTCCCAGCTTGGTTGATTTACACTACCACTGGTATAGCTCGGGGGGTGATCAGGATGGTGTCCGGTCAAAACAACCTTGGACTAAAACCCCCTGGACAAAAACCTTCCGCATATATAAACCCCCTGGACAACCGCCCCCCCCCCACGACAAGGCTCTAACACCGGATGGCAGATCGTATCATTTAACAAAATATAATTCTATACTTTTACCAGTGTCCGCCCCCTCGCAAAAAAAAATTTGTCCACCCCCACCCCCGAAAAATTCAAGTACCCCCCCCCCCCCCCCCCCCCGATCCGGGGAGGAAAAAGTAACAATGAAACACTGGTCGCATTTGTAGATCAAATAAATTAAAAATCGAGTCTACTTCTATAATATAGACCCGTGTAACCCCTTATGGTAAAACCCTCCTATGTTCAAAGCACCTGTGGTCAAAACACCTAGGACATGTATATATATATAAATATATATATACATAAATATATATATATATATATATATATATATATATATATATATATATATATATATATATATATATATATATATATATATATACTGAGGGGTGGCTTCCCTTGTACGCTCGTTCACTCCGTATAACAACATACACGTCAACACACCCCGGCCTCCCGTCTTGCTACATAATACTAAACACACACACGCAGAGATCCGTCCCACGGATACACCTTTCATACATATTACATCACTATAGTAATAATTAGATAGCACATACAATGCCATACATAAGTAAATATTCCTACCATTGCTTTCTTATTTTTATTTTTAAAAAGTAAAAGTACCATTAGTTGAAAGTATGTAAACATAGTGAGTATATGAAATGTATTTATGTTCTATTTTTTGGGACTCTGGATATAACAACTGCATACAGAGGAGACACAAGTCAAGAAGAAGTTAAAAACTAACCATCTCATACGGCCTTCTCCAACAGTGATCAGATTTGACAGAAATTGGCCTACAGCAGCGTATATGTTGGATCCAAGGTGTTATGATTGGGATTAGCATAGGATAGAGGACTAGGATAGAATATCGTTTAATTCTTAATTGTATCGATGTCCACACTATTATATTGTTTAACTCTAGGTTAGATAGATCATAATAGGTTTAATAGGAATAGCCCTTAGTGTGTCCGATTGAACGTCCACTCACTAGATGCAAGCTTTTAAATTGTAATTACGGATGACAGCCATGTTGACCTGTGTAACCGTGGTGGAGACAGTATGGCGACAAATTGGGGAAAAACCTAGGAAGTTATCAGCAGGGTCTGGCATTTTAATTAGGTACGACAGAACTGTGGCGACATGTACATTAGGTTAGGCTTAGTGGGGGAAAACTAAGAAGCTAGGAACTGTGAGGGTTACAGGACAGTTGAACGTTAGCCTTATGAGGGTGTAGTCGTGTTTTGTTTTGTAAAGTGAGGTAGGGGCTGGGCCCAAAGACTTGACATTATTGATGACCATGTTTCTTTCTTGGTTTAGGCAAAACCAACAGTATCAACCATTAAAGTTAATGAGCTGATGTTGTGTTTGTGTTTTCTTGAACCTCTCACTGCAGTCATTAGTACCAACCACATTGATGACGTCATAAAATTTTGTCGGAGCCAGCGGAAGTTATTCATAACATTTTTATCCATAACACAAGGATAGGCCTACATGTTGGATCCAACAAAACCTATTCATATTAAACAACTATTTATTTGTATCAGTTCTGAGTGTGTATGGTAATTTTAAAAAAAAGAAAACTTTGAAGTGTTTTATTTTTCTTTAGCACTTATAGGGTATGCTTGTTTGGGCCAAAATTAATATATATTACCTGCCTAATTTAATAATATACTTTTTACTGGTGAAGTAAAAATATCTTTAAAAAATATGATGCTAAAGTAGATTTCACCTTTTTTTTACGGTCAGCACAATTTCAAACTGCATTTACTCTACATGACCAGACAGTTAGAGTTGTGTTAAAACAGAGGCAACTTACAGGATCAAGAATAAGATTTATACTCAAGAAGCAAAAGTTCTTGAGTACAAATCTGATTCACAATTATAAAGTTTCACTAAACGTCTTCATTTGAATAAAACTTGGTTGATGTAATATGAATATCTAATATATCATTTGTTAAAATTATTCCTCGTCCAAAACAATCTACTGCAATGAAACTCATTTTATCAATAGAAGGAAAAAACGAATACAAATTTCCAAAAAAACAGCAAATGAGTTTAGCTGAAATGTTGAGTTGTGAGAAACACGTATTTTATTAACAGAGGTACAATCAAAACAACTATTGTAATTGGATTTGTGTGTCTATGAAATATCTGATAAACAAGATCAAAATTTATTGTGATCGTCAAAAAAAAACATCAATATATTATGGGGTTTGGGAGATTCTGACTTTTGGGACATAAGCAATGGGTTCCAGAAATTGACATTGGCTGCATTTGATAACAATCATGTTTAGAAAGTGACTTTAAGTCTTTATTTCGTGTAATTAAAAGTTGTTTCATAAATTATTTTTAAATAATTAATCAATAGGCTTACATTACATATTGGCAAATCCCAGGTAGGCTTAAATATTTTTTAAATTAGGGGGGGGGGGTTGTTAGCTTTTTGTTAAGATGTAGGAGTGGGGGGTGGGGTGGGACCAACGTGTAAAAACGTTTCAGTGTTTATGGGTGACCTCATAGTCATAGGCTGAAAATGTCGGATCTAGATTGATTAAGCCTATAGTGAAATAATACTGAATTATGTTGATGTTAATTACGATTTAAATAGTATAGCGATGGGTTATAGCCTAGGAGCTTTTTAATTGGATGGTAATTTGTACTTATTTGTGAATATATTCAAGGTTTGTTTAAAAAATATGTTTTCTTGCAACAAAGTTTTGGAACCAGATTTTTATGCCTAGAGTTACGCAATTCTTTCACCGTGTGAGTTTAAATATGACATGCACGCTCTAGAGACAACACAAGACAAATAAAAACATTAACAGTCAAATGAAAAACAAAACTTTCCATGACTGAGACGTATATATAAATAAATTTATATATATATATATATATATATATATATATATATATATAGCCTATATATATAGCCTATATATATATATATATATATATATATATATATATATATATATATATATATATATATATATATATATATATATATGTATACATATATATATATATATATATATATATATATATATATATATATATATATATATATATATATATATATATATATCAAAGTGGTTGGGCTAGAGCACTGGTCGGTGCAGCAAGCGTTGCAAATTGAGTCAATTTTTTTGTGCTAGTTCAATTAGTTTCAATATTCTACATGTTTTGTAGGGATCCATAAATAAAATAAATGATTAAAATAAATAATTATTGTTATTTCTTCATTTTAAATCTTAGTTTTAGGCATTCGCTAAGACACAATTCAGTAATACGTGTTAAATAATTTTGCGCCATTTAGACTCTTATCTCCGATTTCAGCCTGTTTTTCTATAAAAAATCAATAATATTGTTGAACTGTGTAATTTATCTGTATAGCTTAGATTATCACATTTGCACAAGCCTGACTTATCTGCCTTATATTGATATTCACAATGTTTACAAGTGGACTGCTTTTATTTTTCTACTGCTATTAATTATTCTATAAATAATTAAATCTGTGCTTAGGAAAAAAAAAGAGCAAACGCTATTTTATAGTCATTCATAAACACGCAACATAAAGAAAGGAAAGCATATATTTTTTTGGGATGGGGGAAGGAGGTGGAGAAGATGTAACAGAATTATGAGGGGGGTTAACTAATTGTTGTGGGGATATAACCTCGTCGTTTTTCTGGCTTAAAGTTATCCATGTAATTTCATTTGCTAATTATTAAATTCAAAGTTGAGCAATGACTGACGATGACATACATCGCAATACTACTATTGCAAAGGAGATAATTAGTTGTGTTGAACATCTCTCCGACCCTTCAGTCAGCGTTTATAATATTTTTACACCTGGCGACACAACTGAATGATCTGGTATGATAAGCGTTCATGTAGTAAAAAATCAAAGTAAAAAAAATAACTTTAAAAACATTGTCAATGCTAGATGTTTATTTTTTCTAGAAGTTTCTTTGATTCATTATGTGTTCTGCAAGGGCGAAGCATAAAACAGAGTTAATACAACATTACAGTTTTATTTAGAATCCAATATATATATATATATACTGTATGTATATATATATATATGTATGTATATATATATGTATATATATATATGTATGTATATATATATATATATATATATATATATATATATATATATATATATATATATATATATATATATATATATATATATATATATATATATATATATATATATATATATATATATATATATATGTATATATATATATATATATATATATATATATATATATATTGGATTGTAAATAAAACATTACAGTTTTATTTACTATCCAATATATATATATATATATATATATATATATAATAAATTTCTAAACATACGGAATGTTTCATATGATTTACTTTTTACTTTCTCGTATATACGTAGTATAGAGAAAGTATTGTAATCGTGCAAAAAAAAATCGAGATTTTTACAAATCTCGACGTTTTACACCTCACTGATACGGAAAAACATAATTTTGCAATCTTGTCCGTATGTCTGTGTGTGTGTGTGTGTGTGTGTGTGTGTGTGTGTGTGTGTGTCTGTGTGTCCGTGTGTAAACTTGAGTACCGTTACTGCTAGGTTGATGAAATTTCATATATAAGTATTTTATCAAAATCGTAGATCCGTATCAACTTTTGAGCGATTTCCGATAACCGGAAGTGGTACTTTTTCTACTTTGAATTTTTCAAAAGCCTATAACTTGAGTACTATTTCAGATAGATAAATAAAATTTCACATGTAAGTAAAAGATCTAATTCTCTACCGTCTGTTAAATTTTGAGTAATTTCCGTTGACCGGAAGTAGTAATTTACGCTACTTCCGATTTCTCAAAAAACTAATGTAAATTTTAAAAGTACTAATAATATTGCGCACTATTATGCGCTTTTTTATTTCGCGTTCACTTGGTGTGCAATTAATTTGTCTACGAGATTTTATTCTATTTTTAAAACTTTAAGTATTTAAAATGGATTAAAAATCATGTCTATAGCCCGAGTTCCCATCCCCTGTTATTTTATATAAAAATATTCGAGAAAGTTTAGGATAGATCACTCCCGGTTTATTTAATTTACACAGCACGCAAACTTTTAATGCGCATATTTAAACTTGTACATCATAAATCTACGATTGTTTTTTATTCAGTATATTGACAACGTTTTTATTTGTTTTAATTTTATCTTCGCAATCCGTTTTATAAATCGAAATTGTAAAGATTTGCTGATTAAGTTACTGTATGCAATTAGTTTTTTATCGTTTTAAAAGTGTATAAATAATAAAAGATGAGGTAAATTTGAATCGAGAGTAAAAATAGAGGGTGCTGAATTTTTTGATTTATAATAGTGTTGTGGTTGTACCTATATGTAGAACTGACGCAAACAATGTTAATAGGGAAAATGTCGGCAAGGATTCACAAAAATCAGGTGTACGTCAGTATTATCAGAGTGGCATGCAGCGAATATTTTTTTTAAATTTAAAACAATCTGTTAACATGGTAGTTGGTTAGCTTGCACATATGTGCTCAGGGGATGGGTGAAAGGCGATAGGTATATTAGGGCCTGTGTTTGGGAGGTTGGTGGTGTGGGGATGAGGTATTTAGTGGCAGTCGGCTGGGACGGGTGCGGCACATATGAACGGGTTGCTCTGAGCCCGGGGGTGTAGCCAGTGTGTGTGTGGATATGACTTTAAGTAAACGTGGGTACGCGGATTGGCTTTGGATTTTCCGGGTATCTTTGACAAGCTATTATGCCATTCAAATTTCAGAAAGTCTTAGGTATAACAAGATTGTGTTTAGAAGAAACATACAAACAAAAGTATAACTATATGTATGTTTAAAAATTTATTTATTAACTTATTTATAAAATGTATAGAAACAACCCCAATGCTACGTTTTATTTTACAGAGCCCTATAACATACTTTCCTTTTTATTTTCTACTGGGTGCAGCACATCTTTTTTTTTCGCCACTAGAAAAAAAGAAAAGAAAAGTAATATCAACAATAATTGGTGGTGGTTTTGATTATTGAAATAATGTTTATAAACAATTTTTCCCGTGTCGCTGTTATACATTCAACCCTTAATGCCTGAATTATGTTCCAAGCGGCGTGTAAAAAATTATTTGTGCTGATATTCTTTCATCATACTGACACTGAATTTGAGGTATAAAGTTATTATTAAATTTGGACTTATTTTTTATGCTAACTACGGTATGTCGCGAAAACGCGACATCATGACACTTTTGGACCAAACAGTAATTAAAATTTTTTTTAGGCCAGGTCATTTTACTATTTTTACTGTCACGTGTTTCTCTAAATATCCACACACAAACAATAGAATATCACAAACTAAACATACAGACGTGCGATGAGATGAAGTATCACTTGCAAAATTCATCAAAACTATACTTTATTAGCTCAGGCATAGAGTTACATAACTCTGCTGCACCTGCTCTCTGACTATCTCTTATGAATGGGTATTTTGACGCCTTGCAGTCGTGGTTCTACTACACTACAGTAAAACACTACATATGAAAGGACTTCCTTCAATGTGTAGAGCCTTAATTGTCCCCGGTTACGTCATTTTCGTGAACTCTTATGTAAGGTCAACTAATAAATACGCATATTTCTCATTTGACCTATATTTGCTATACACACAAAGCACGTAAACAAATAGTGTCCTAAATGACAGTGTTCAGCAATTGTATATTCGTCCATGCTCAATGCAGTTGCTGTGGGTACTCAGTGCCACCGGTGTGAGTACTCACTGCTATTCTTGATGGTACCCTATGTTTCTGATTCGTGCTACGGCTATTGTGCTCGAATGATTCTGCTATTTATTCCCAATGACAGTGCTGAATCTACATATTGCCACTGGTATGGGTACTTAGTGCTGAAACAGTGGGTAATGAGTGTTGAAGCCATGTGTACTGAGTGCTGAAGCTGCGGATACTCAGTGTTACTTCAGTCGGTTCTTGGTGTCACTGCTGTGGGTACTCAGCGCTGGAGCTGTTGGTAATGGATAACGTTGATGTGGGTACTCAGCCTTGGCAGTGGGTATTCAGTATTACTGCTGTGAGTGCTTAGTGCTCAAACTGGTTGCTCAGTGTCACTGATGTTGGTACTCAGTGGTACTCAATAACACTGCTGTCGGTACTAAATGCCAGTATAATGCCACTAATGTGGATATTCAATAGCACTACAAAGGGTAAGTTTGTCAGTACTCAACCTGACTGTATTTATTACGAGTTGTAGGTCTATGCTCAGTGGTATTATTGTCAAGGTCACTGTGAAGACCTGTCTTTGGTGGTATCAAATATAGTGGTCCAACACCTCACTTCCTGTTGTCTATTTATTTTTTTATGTTCTCCTAATATTTTACAATACTATTTCAAAGCTAAATTCGTTATATTGTACCCAGCAATATGATAACATTATTCTAGCATCGCTCTCTCTCCTTATGCCTATGTCAATGAAACAGGTGATCTCTACTTCACCTACCACCTTGACCGTAACGTTCTAAAGTGCACTTTTATATATAGGCGAAGACTATATTGTAAATATTTTACTTATTTATAATCATACTTGAATGAATGACAGCTTGGTGATGCATCGTATTTCGTTATACCTGCTTGAAACGTAAGTTCCATTTTATGTCTTATTGCCGGATGTCGCAAAAAACGCGACAAACCGTAATTAGCAGATAACTTCCAAAATTATTCTAATATGTGATTTATACTGTTTATATACATAAAAGAGTGAATAATAAACCTATTAGTATTTTTGTAGCAAAAACGGATCACCTATTTAGTAATAATAATCAATGTAAGTAGGCTGAATTCACAAAGTCAAAAAAATTACGATGCGCGTGAGTCAAGAGAATGTGACGTCTTAAATTTCGACTTAACAACGTGATTATTGGTACCGATATAATCGTCT